ACCGTTTTGAGGCGACGCAACTCGCGCATCTTTGGTCGGCTGGCGGACACACACGAATTTGTAATGTGTGCTACAGATTGGTTGTCGATGTTCAAAAGCAAGTTGCGTCGACCCTGCTTGGATAGCTGCCTTCCCAAGGCTCCTGTTAGTATCATGCGCAATGCCTTCAGTTATCTGAAGTTGATGCTGGCTGCGCGGTCCTTCCAGTTCCACACACCCTGTTCTGACCAACGTCCTGCCACTCCCGCTTTCATGCTTTCGACATTCAGAGTGCCACCGTATCCCATGTCCGCAGCGTCCGTGTGGAGGGAAGCCTCCACCGGCTCCGGTACCATTGGTCTGCCGGCCAGTTCCTGGTCGGTCAACTGTTGCCAGGTGAATAGATCGCGAACACTTTGGTGGCTTAATCGACACCGGCCTCTCGCGTCTCGCGATCTCTTCGCCGACATGTCCCAGTACAGAGCACGCGTGTAGAACCTTGCACATGGCATGGCGAGGGTTAACGAGACGCACACTCCACAAAAATGTTTCGGCATCTTCAGCCGCACCCAACGCCTTCTCGCTCGGACTTCTGATAGCAACTTCTTCGCGAGGTCGCGCACCTTGGCGACTTTGCGATGCGCGATATAGAAGCGCATCTTGCGTGTGTCGATTCTTACTCCCAGGTGCTCGACGACAGGAGACCGAGTCCATTTTCCCTTGGTCAAATGCCGTGCGAGCCCAAGCCGGTTCATCAATTCGCGAATGATTCTCTTTGCCCTGATACAGTGCCACAACTTTGCCACTATTCCGTGTGATGTGGGAGCAACGAGGAAGTCGTTCAGATACGCCAGCACCCGGAATCCAAGTCTCCTCAGCTCTTTCACAAACACTGCCATCAGCCGTGTGAACCACAAAGACGACCGACCCCAGCCGAAAGGCAGAGCGATACATTGGTAGTACCGTCCTTCCCACCGAAATTTGAACCAATCCCACATCGACGGGTGTAGTCTGAGATGTCGATATCCCTTCTGTATGTCGAATGAGAGGAGGCCGTCTTCCTTCTGAATTGAGGTCGCAAACTCGGCGAGATTCTGCATTTTAGTGAACCTTTTGCCCAGTGCTTTGACTGCTTCGACAAATTGACTACAAATCTCGGCTTCGTACCCTTGTCCGATTCCTGCCATACTACGAAAGCTGATGATATCACGGCCCCAGCAGACCGTGCTCGGGCTGCGTGTTCCCCAGTTATCTCTCGGTAGATTTCGAGGCGACAGCCTTCGCGTAGATCCTTCGCACCGAAGGACTTGTCCTCCTCCGTCTGCGGGATATTCCCCAGCTCCTCCCCTTCGCCTGGAACAAACGGTACGGTTGGACGCTCGTATACCCCAAACCGGATTGCCCGACACAAATAGTCCGAACAACTCAGACGACGCCATTCTTCGACTTGCTGCTGAGTAGCTCGCCAAAGAGCGGGTCGTGTGTCCGTTTTAACTACTTTTCCTTGGCGGACCCTCCCTTGCCCGAACGCCTTGTCGCATTGCTTGCATTGAGAGTAGCCACCGCCTTCATAAGTTGTGTGGTCATGTGTGTGTCGAGCTTTTCCATGGCTTCCGCCAAATCATCAGCAGTAGCAACATCATTGCGCTGCTCAAGACTAGGCATAACCATTTTGGCATATGTAGGATCCCTAGCGGACATTTTGTAGAACTCAGCCCGAAGTCCCACAACACGAAGGCCGTATCTGATGGACAATAGGCCCCAGACATTGAACTGGGCCGCTGTTTCCCCGCTACCAGCTTTGATTGCATAGTTCCTCAAGGCCATAGCTGCCTCGTGGAAAGCCATCCAATATCCGGGGGCATTAACGTAATTAGCCTCATACTCCCATACTGGGAGTAGACTCTGGTGCTTCTCCATTGCTGTCTTCAGAGGCCATTCCCTGTGCTCGAAAAAACCCCCGATAAATGCCCCAACGCTTGAGTCCTGTTCATACGGGTAACGTGTGAGCCCGAAGTCCTTGTCGTCCCTACAACGTCTGGAAATCTGACCATAGGTAGTCATCCACCCCAACGCGATACCAGCTTCTTCAAAAGTCTTTCCTTTTGAAACAAGCTTGGCTTTGCGTATTGAAGTATCCACTTGCTCCACATTATCGGCAAAGTCGCTCATCTTTGTGCGCTTTAGCGTTCTAAAGAACGAGCGATCGAGTCTTCTTTTGATCGTTTAGAAAGTGCCTTCCGCCAACGCTCTGGGGTCTCTTTTAAAAGAGAGAGGCATGCCATGTACGTTTTGTGCATGTATGCCTCCCTTTATATACCGCCACAATTACTGGAGCGCGCGTGAGACAAATGATGCTGCGTATCTAGGAGAGTTGGTGGGAGAGTGTTTGCGGGAGTTCTCAAGAATTCCACTCTCTCACCACGTGTCATACGCGTCGAGACTTGCCACGACACTGGCCAACCTCGCTATACATTCAACTGTGTTTCATGCGCATAAACGCTACTCGCCTGCACAACACGACAATTGTGAGGTGCACAAGAGGTCGGAGAATTTGGAGCAGGCGTTGCAAGCGTGTAACACGGAGCTACACTTTTTTCCGCCTCACGCCACAGATTTGATTCAGCCGGCGGATTCCTTTGTCATCCAAAAATTAAATGACGCATGGTGTGGTGTGGACGATGGGATAGATATAAGATGGACGTCATTATGCGAAATGGGTTCGCGGCGGCCTCTGGGAAAATTCTCATCCCGCGAAAACATTACTATTTGACTTTGGCCGTAGCCGTTGTGAGGGACGTAAATGCGATGCGTGTGGCAAATGGAGTGAGGTACGCCCGAAAGGCTATGATCCGCACCGGTCTTGCTTGTAATATCAACGGACAATGGGAAGAATCCCAGCTGTTTCCAAAATTGCAAGAGATAGTGCAGAAGTATAGAAATCACTTCGATGGCGCTCCCGTTGTTGATGTTGATGATGAGTAAAATGTGTTGATATGCTAACATGGACGGATTATGAATGGGCAATAGCGTGTTTATCAAAATAGTGTAGTCTTCGCTAATATGTTCATTGAAAATTAGTCTGGTCTACTCTATCTTAGGTTGTGATGCATATAGTGCGGATACACATATTAGTGCAGTCCGCATTATTAGTGAGGGTGCACGGATACACATATTAGTGCAGTCCGCATTATTAGTGAGGGTGAAAATATATCCTAGACTTTTTATAGTCTAGCCCAGACTAATTGCTATTTTTGGGTGTAGCTAGCTCTAGTGTCTAGACGACAAGCAATTTGACCTCATATGAGGCCAGCTTTTTTTTGCAAAAATATATAAATTAAATCGAAACTTTAAAACATTCAGTTTGGACACCATTTCTTTAACGTATACGCGCTCGGCAGGAACATCTTGCAAAACATTGGGATGGCGGTTGTCAATGCACAGAGAGACTAAGAATCTAATGAAGTATCAATGATGAGTTGACTTTTTAAACAGGCGTTTTGGTTTCGAAGATATCAACATAAAACCTTTTGAGGTTGGTCAAAAAAGGCTCCTTTTTGGGCATTTTAAAAATGGCTGGAGAAGACGTGCAGATCTCACCAAACTCCACCCTTCCACAACGCAGAAGTCAACTGCCGTGTCGAGAATATCTTTTTTCCATCTTGTTGAGCTAGCACAAGTCGAGAAAAATAAGTTGAAAAGTGACCTCATATGAGGTCATTTGTCACCTAGACACTAGTGTCCATCGGATCATTGTTCTCATGTGAAAACATTTTTCGATATATAATTTTCTTGACTTGCGCATTCTCGACAAGAAAGAAAAATTACCCCCACCACCCTACTTGACATCTGCCTTGGGACCAGAAAGAACTCTATGATGACTGCATGTTCTTCTTGGTCGTTTTTAGATATGTATGGAAAGATGCTTTTTTAAACCACCTTAAAACGACATGTAAAATAAATTCGAAGCAAAAAAAGCCAGTCTAAAAAGAAAACTACGTACAATCTGCATTACTCTCTCAATCATTCTGCGCATTCAAAGCTGCTATCCCGGCGATCTGTGAGATGTTATTTCCGAAAACAAGTACGTTAAGGAAATAGTGTCCAAGGTAGCTTTTTAAATGTTCAATTTAATGTATATATTTTTGCAATTAAACCGGCCGCATATGAGGCCATGCCTGACCTCATATGAAGCAAATCGCTTGTCGTCTAGGACATTAGTGTCTAGGACACTAGTGTCTAGACGACAGGTGACCTCATATGAGGGTACTTTCAACCTTTTTTCTCGACTTGTGCATGCTCAACAAGAAGGAAAAAGATACTCTCGCCACTGCAGTTGACTTCTCCGTTGCGGAAGGGTGGAGTTTGGTGAGATCTGCACGTCTTCTCCAGCCATTTTCAGAATGCCTAAAAAAGAAGCCTTTTTGACCAACTAGAAAGCGTTATGTGTTGATATCTTCGAAACCAAAACGCCTGTTTAAAATGTCAATTGAGAGTTGAAACTTCACTAGATTCTTAGTCTTTCATTGTGTATTGACAACTGCTATCCCAACGATTTGCAAGGTGCTATTACCGACGTCATGTCCGTTAAAGAAATGGTATTCAAATTGACTTTGCAAAGTTTCAAGTTTCGAGTATAAATTATTGCAAAAAAACTGCCCTCCTATAAGGCAAAGAGCTACTACGGTAGAGATGACATGCCATGTGCTTCCAAGGAGGCGACTTTTTTCAATACATATGTGCATTAATTCGCACCGTTTCCAGTCATTTTGAACATAATTTCTTTAACGCACTTACCCTCAGCGACAACATCTTGCAGAAGATCAGAATAGCAGTTTCGAATAGACTGAAGGACTGAGCATCTAAGTTAGTTGCAATTTCTTGTTGATTTTTTAAACAGGCGTTTCGGTTTCGAAGATATCAATACAAAAAGCTTAAATGTTACCCAAAATAGCTTCTTTGCCACGCATTTCTAAAAACGACAGGGAAGGACATTCAGTCGTCACTCAAATCATCTTTCCACAATCAGAGGTTAAGTGCGGCGGAGCGGGTATCTTTTTCTTTTTTGTTGAATAACCACATGTCAAGAAAAAACAAGCCGACAAGGAGAGTGATATTGTATGAGGTCACTTGTTATCTCTAGTCTAGACAGGAAGCTTCAATACATCACTGCTGAAACTCAAAAATGGTGGGGTGCACCTAGCGTTTTATACGTTCTGTACTGTACCCCACGCACACATCCACAACTTCACAATCTACACAAGTCGTAACGGCTGGAAGTTTCTGACCTTGCCTCCCGGTGACGGGTGCGGGCCTTCATATTCTCCAAGTTGAGCTTTTCCATTAGCCCTTGCCAGCTTAGCCAAGAGCTCCTGCGCAGCCTGCTTGTTAGCATCATCACCACCCCATGTCTTGAGCACGGCCATTTGGAGGGCTCGCCCGTAGGAAAAGTTGAGGCTCCAAGGGGCGATCTCCGACCCTTCAATAGTATTAAGTAAGTTCAAGTTCTCCGTAGCTTCCTGGTCGCTCATACCGCCGGAGAGGAAATGAATGCCCGGCATGGCCGGGGGGACGCCCCTCAGCATAGTTTGCAACGTGTACTTGGCGACAGTCGCGGCGTCGCACTGGTTGGGTGAATCCGTGCCCGGGTTGACCATGTTAGGCTTGAGAAGGGCGCCGTCGAGGCAGACGTCGTACTCGTTAAGCGCGCGGAAGGTAAAGCTGAGAACGCGCTCTGTGTAATAGGCAGTTTCGTCGATGTTGTGATCTCCGTCAAGTAGGACCTCGGGCTCGACGATGGGGACGAGCCCGTTGGCTTGGGAGATCTGCGCGTATCGGGCGAGGGCATGTGCGTTTTCAAGAATGGCGGCGTCGGAAGGCGCGCCATCGGCCTTGCTGATACGCATGACGGCACGCCACTTTGCAAAGCGTGCGCCTTGCTCGTAGTACTGTTTGCAGCGGTCTGGCAGGCCGTCCAGACCAGAGGTAGCTGTCTCGGCCTTTGTGCGGGGAAGCGCCGTGAGACCTGTGTCAACCTTGATCCCCGGCACGATGCCCTTGTCCTGGAGGATCTTGACGAAGGGGGTGCCGTCGGCTGCGGATTGGTAGAGGGTCTCTTCAAACATGATTGCGCCGGCGATGTAGTCGCCAATGTCGGAAGTGTAGAGGAGTTCGCGCCAGCGGCGGCGGTTGTCCACGGTGTTTTCGAGGCCGATTGTAGCGAGACGCTTGCCGGTGGTGGAGTTCGACTCGTCGCTGGCGAGGATGCCCGAGCCTCGAGAGGCGATGTACTTAGCAGTGGCTTTTAGCTCCGCAGCGAAAGGATTGGAGGTCTCGAATACGCCCGCTTCGAAGGTCATGCGAGGGGCAGGACGGACACGTCGGGGGGTGAGGTGCGTGACGCGGCGCGAGGCGATGAAGGTAGAGGTCATGCAGGCAGCGGTGGAGGGGGTGGCACTGAATGCATGGGAGACCGGGAGGGCGGAGACGAAGGCTACCATTTCGGTGTGGTTGCGGTTGTGTTGAAGGAGAGGGGTGGAGCGCAGCGTAGTGAAGTGGTGTGGGGGAGGTCGGAAATCCCAGCTCAGTTAGAGTTGCAGAAGAAGGAGACGAAAGCGGTAGTCAACGGCCAGTATTTACGAATGGGAGCACTTTGACGCTCATAGTTTTGACGAGATTGTGTGGACACGATCGTCATCACCAATACAGCCAACTATTGAATGCCAAGTCATGCTAATCGACATTGCAAATGTGCCGCCCAATCACTGCGAAATAGTCTGAAACGACAGCAATGCACGAGATGTGATCCGATCCGAATGGAGACTACAGTAGTTAAACGGGACCAATGATCCAATACTGTACCGTTGGTACTGTACCCGTTCAAGCCACACTGCTAGTGTCTATCCTAGCTAGAGGGGTAAGCCTCAGGGTTCTGTTGAAGGAATCACATAAACCTGATAAGAAGCAAGGAAACGTTAACGCGTTACGTCTAGACACTAGTCAAGTAAAGTGGACAGACTTGCGCGAAAAATCGTCAGAACGTATTTTGCAAACATAGCGATAGGCGGCGAGCTGCTGCTTGGCCTGAAGGGCAGCGGCGGGCAACGCGATGCATCATGCAAAGATGAAAGGACTTGAAGCTGAGGAAAAGGGCAGTACCGGCATCAGTGTGATGCATGCATTTGTGGGGGATGAATGCGGGGGGCTTATAGGCTAAGCCGAACAGAAGTGTGCTGTAACACGGAAGGCCGACAACGAGAGCGTAGCAAACGGGAGTATGAATTCGAACACATACATTGCGGGCAGACAGTGAAGACGGCAAACATGAAGGCATGGAACAGAACTGTCTTGACGGAGCCGGGTCTCAGGGGGAGGACCCGGCCATCGCGCTTCTCTGTTGCTGGACCTTTTTGCCTACATATCGCTAGTGCGCATGCCTCCCCACGCTTTGCCGCCCTTGGATTCATCAACATGCAGGACACCACCGCTCTTCTGCAATGTGAGCAACATATACCGCATATGGCACATTCGCATGCATAGACTGGTGGCCCCAACACTTTGTCTACTTCAAACGTAAACATGCCATTTAAGGATAAGACGCGTTTAAAGGGCAACAGCGCCATTTCTTGTTACGCGTGAACGGCTACCACGAGTTGCCTGTAGCGGTATGAGAGAGCTCGAGGAAAAGCTCAAACCTCAAACCTCATTCTATTCCATGTAGTGCATGACTTCAAGATTACTGTACATGGCATGTACTGTAGTCTTGAATTCAAAGGCTTCCTTAGGTCATGGCTGGCTGAGAGAGTCGCAGTTGTCACCTGTCACGGCATCGCCCAGTATTGCCAACCGAAACGCAGAAAAAGGGACGAAAAGCAACTGCCGAAACTCCACGTGTACATCTGTACAATGAAAGGCACTGCAATTTCAATCTCAACTTTTCCCCCCCTTCACCGAATCGAATTCCTCAATGTTTAAATTTTCCCGCCAATCTCTGAATTCAATATCGCAACTTATAGACTCATCGCACACCCTCTTCCCGGACCCGACCGAAGCACCCTGCAATCCGCACCACTTCACCTCCTGCTTTAGCGATGCCGCGCAAGCGTCGCAGGACCGCATGGACCGCCGCCGCGGAAGCCTCCTCCTTCACTTTCATGCCTTCCGACACGGAGATGACTCTCCTTTCATCAGGCGTCTTCCGCATCTCCCGTGTCGAAAAGACTTCCAACCCGTCGCAATCGACTTCCGAAGACATTGCAGAGTTCCCGCCGGCAATGAACGCAGTTTGCAGGCCATTGCAACATAATTACGCCATGGCACAACAGCCAGATAACACCGAAGATGTCGAAGACGCCGCCGTACTGTCTTTCGGGTCGGAAGCCATCTCCCCGACAAACGAACGCCCCCGTCTAGAGAGCTCTGATCCAATTCGCGACTCCCCTCCTTGTCGACCGAAGCCCAATCACGGCACTCAGTCGCAACGAAGCTTGCCCGTCGCCCCATCCGCCTTCGTCGCCCGCTCATTACTGACAGCCATGGACCAAGCCGGTTCCACACCTGACAAAGGAAACCTGAGCTGTGCATCGAAGAGAAGCGAAGAAGCATCATGCACGCCGCTCATGATCACTACGTCTGAAATTCGTCGCGCTCAGAAATGTCTCGGTATGAGTCCGGATACGCCGGGTAGCTCTGGTCTCAGATTCATCGACCCTGAAACGGAACGCGAGCTCAGGGCTGTACAAAACTCGACGGAGAAATTGAATCTTGATGTTCACGATGCTTCGCCGGCAAGCGTGACCTCACCTCACCACGAGGAGGCTGAGAGCACGAGGCTGAAAAGGGAATCGACCTTAGGACAGTATGGACGAATGGATTTGTGTTCACAAGGTCGCTTTGTGCCCGGAAAAACTGACAGCAGCCCCGCATGGACTAGAAGGCGCCTGTCCAATATGAGCACGGTAACCCCCATCCCGCTCAACCTTTACTCGCCCGCACCGCCGAAGGCGTCTGAGAAACCGGTCGAAGACCAAACCACGAGCGGGAAGTCTGCGAAGCTTTCATCACATAACGTTGATGTTTCGCACAAAGACGGTTCTCCCGTGGCGTCACTGGCTTGGAGACACGACGACAAAAAGGTACCAGGGAACGAGGACAGATTGACTTCAAACGAAACAGTTCATCATGACTCTGGCGAAGAGCATGTACATTGTCCGTCCTCACCTGGGCGCGAACGGGACCCTTTTCATGGGTACACGCAGATGACTGCAAAACACAGCGCCCGAGGAGCGAACGTTGATAATTTTCCATCGCTGTTTACCACTGGATCGGGAAGGACAAAGCTCATACCCCCGCTGAGCACTACAGGCCCAGAAAAGACCGTAGATATACCACCGCTATTTACGACTGGGGCTGGAAAGAAAGTGAATATACCTCCATTTGTTCAGGCTAGATCTGGAAAGAAAGCAGACCTGCCACCGTTGTTCATGACAGGATCTGGAAAAAAGTTGGACGTACCACCGATGTTCACGACAGGGTCGGGAAAGAAAGTGGACGTATCACCGATGTTCACGACAGGGTCAGGAAAAAAAATGGACGTACCACCGATGTTCACGACAGGGTCAGGAAAGAAAGTGGACGTACCACGGATGTTCACGACAGGGTCAGGAAAGAAAGTGGACGTGCCACCGATGTTTACAACGGGAGCTGGAAAGAAGGTTGGCGCACCCTTGATACTCGCAGCAGCGTCAGGAAAAGCAGTGGACTTCCCACCACTGTTTACGACTGAATCAGGTAAGAAAGTGGAATTGACGGTGCCCTTGTTCACCACAGGAATAGGCAAAACGGTTCCAGTGCAGCCGCGAACTCCAGTGAGCAAAGGAAACAATGCTCAGCTCGGCTCCTCCCACGGTCTGGACAAAACTCATTTGAACACCCCCCAACATGTTCTTAAATTCGCTACGCGAATTGAACAGGTGCCAACAGGATCTGGAAAGGGAATGCAAAGTCATGTAGTTCTTGGGCAAGGTGATTCTGCCAACCGCAAAATTCGGGAGCGAGGAAAGTCGCGTAAGGGTATGAAGACAACGCCTTTCAAGCGCCCGCGCCAACTTTTGCGAACAGGGAAACGACCAGAACAACTGATCGAGGCAAGCAAGCGAACATGCCGGGCGGTCCCAAATGTTGCCATTCCACGATTGCTGAAGTCCGGAAGATTTGAGTGCCGGCAGCGTCATCACCACGAGGGGAGCCAACACGTACCCGCTGCGCAGTGTGGCTCTCTCAACTTTTTGGTGCAACCGGGCTGTCTAAAACGCTGCCTTGACTTTTCCTTTCAAAAAAGCTCATTCGGGTGCATCTCGTGCCTCCCAGCAGAGATAACAACGACTCTTCACCTAGACTCGGTGGATGAGTTCCGAGTCGATGACTGCATTGATTGGATGACCTCCCTTTACCCAGGTGTGTCGCAGGAACCTGCTCCATGCGTTGGTAGCGTGGCTTGGACCAAACTCACCTACGGTCTTTCTGTATGGAAGCTCGGGCGACTAGACCTCACCTGCAAATGGGGACACCGTTTTCTCACTGTGGCAAACGTCATCCGCGAATTCTTGCGCAGATTCTCCATTGAATGGCATGGGAATCGCCAGCCGCATCTTCTTCGAATGATGCGACGCGATTCCGCTCCAGCGTCACATGTGGTTCTTGTGATAGCAGATATTGAAGAAGATGCACAGAAACGACTGCTTCTGACCCTTTCGGATGGTTGGTATCTTGCCCGTGCGGTTCTTGATCCAATCCTAGAGGGGCGCGTGTTGAGGGGAAAGCTCCGCATAGGGGAGAAAATTCATGTGGCCGGTGCTCGTTTGCAATCTACTTCTACGAGGCGTGAATTGTTTTGCGGGGACGGTGATGAGCTCTGCTCCAGTGTACTTCGAATTTGTACAAACAATGTGCGGAAGCGCAAAAGTAGCACAGCTGCGCGTCTCGGTATCCAGCGCGCTCCATTATGCAGCAACTCTTTAAAGTGGGTAAGAGACGATGGTGGTCAATGCCCAGCTACATACGCGGTTATTTTGCGCTCGTACCCACTTTTCTATATGGAGAGAGTTGATCGAGGCCACGCGAATGAGCAGGACAATGCCCTAGAATATGTTTTCCGCCGGGAGGATGCTGAATTCGAAGCCAGATCTACACATGAAGAGATCTGGAGACAAAGACTGCCCGCTGCTGCCGAAGGAAAGCGTACTAAAGTGTGTGGAGGTCATGGAGACGAGATTGAAGTACAAAGGCGGTCAGTAAGTAGCGTGAACGAAGTGCTGATATGTGGCATTGCTGATGATCCGCTTGATCAATCCGCCAGGAAGCTAGTTCGAATTTACAACTCCACCGAAGACGTTCAAGCAAATTTGAGGGGAGAAGGGCAAGTTATCCTTTTCGCCAATCTATGGCCGAAGAAGTCCAGATGGACTGCAAAGCCAGACGGGGTCATAATTCCCCGAAGGATCACGTTTTCGAACCTGTATTCGCAGTATCCGCGGAGTATTTGTTCCATCGTAGATCTTCAGTCTGGCACACAAGTAGCCGGGATGGAGTTCGATGGTGCTTTCATCGCCTTACATGTTTCTAGCCCTACGGATGCTGGAGATAGGCGGTTTGCATATTTTGCGGACGAACTTAGAAGCGAAATTTGCGTTTTGGCACTTGAGCTGGCTGGCGCTGACGTGAACTTCCTGCCGAAGACTCTCCGAACAACACGATACGGGCGCAAATTTCCAGTAATTGCCCTCCAAAATGTTCAGTATCAAGCAATCAGTGGAAAGCACGACCTCGTTCACGCTAAAGCAACCATCCGAACCTCGTTTATCTCCTACCAAGCCCTTCACCGGAAGAGAGCCCCTGGGATTCTTAAACAAGTCGCAATGAAAGTCGAAGGACAAATCTCTGGAAAACAAGCAGAGCTGGAGGTTCTGAGGGAAGCCGTTGTTTCTTTCGCGTCAGGGGTGCGAGGGAGCATTGGGGCATACTTTACGAGTACTCAAGAATCGTAGGTAGTCCGTAATGAGTCGTCGTGGCGGTAGATCCGACTGCAACAACTATGGATCGCAAAAACAAAAGCAATACGTCAACCTTGATTTCACAGTTGATGACACTTCATTAGCTATACATATTGTTGAATGGAGTCTCGAAGAAAAAAGACCCCTCGAAGCGCGTATGTTCTTTTTGTCATTAGCTATGCTACGGATTTCGGTCTATCTGACTCGGGCTTTTCCACTTCTTCTGCTTTTGACCCGACGCCCAAGGCTGCGTTTGTGCTAGTAGATACTCTTGCTGGGTCTTCCCAAGCCTCATATTCTTCATCTGACGAATTCTCAGCATCGTCTGGTGCAGTGATGATGTTGTCCGCCAAAGATTGCAAATGCTCGCCAGTGTCGTTTGTTGGTAAAATTGGATCCGGTTCCTCAATTTCTGTTACAATACCGTCTAGAGATGTTCCTGCTCCGGATTCGGATATTCTGAGATTGCCAACACCAGACAAGACCTGAGCCGTTTCTTCTTCCTTTTGGTCATCCACAAAGGCCACGTAAGAACCTTCATCCTCTGAGGATGAGTCCACGGAATCTATCACGCCGCTGAGATCATCCATTGGAATACTGTTTTGCTCGACCGCTTGCGTCCGACTTCGAAGGTCATTTGTCTCACTCGTCGGAATTGTGGGTATTCTAGAGGGCTGCGCCAAGGCCTCAACAGCTACTTGCTTAATCGTTTCACTGTCTTCAGCTCTTGACAATTGTTCTCGCAGGGCAAGCGGAATGTCATGATCGACAAGGGGTTTCACCTCCTGTACATCATCGTCATCTGCTCCAAAGTGATCAAGATCATCGACGTCCACTGGCTTGATTTCATCTTCATCTTCCGAGTCGTTATCACTAGACTTACTGTAGCCAAACTGCATTGGTACATCTGGAGTGCTATTGGTGGGATTCTCCACAAATGACATTCCTCCCATTTCCAGGACGTCTGTAGCTTCTTCTCCTTCGTCCTCGTCAGCGTCATTCAAGTCCCCACAAAGAGGCATTGATTCCCGGTTGTGCGCCGGTCCGAGGATTTGATCTGCAAAGACTTTAAAAGCCTCTAGATCGTCCTCGTTGGGCAACTCTGCGTTTGTTTCTTCCTTGCTCTCTTCAATATATGCCATAAGTGAGGTCCCAATCCTAATTAAGTGTCCCATGTAGCCTGCTCTCGTTCGTATAGATTCATTCCCCTGTTTTGCATTCTTCGACCATGAAGCAATTAGCCATGGAATTAAACCTGCCGCGAACCAAGCTGAACGACTAGGTCGCCCATCTTCATCCCCACTGAATGCGGCACTAACTGATTTCGTTATCACACCATGTAACATTGAGCTCCATTGATATTTGCTAAACAATTCAAGTAGCTTCTTGGGGACGCCAAGATCAGATATCTGCTGAACTGTATCTTGAGTCGCTTTCTTCATGCAAGCCGTGAAGAATTCTGCCAGCTTCAAGCGCAAAGACCCCAAAGGACGTAACGTGCCGTTACCGTCCAGCTCGTCGCCATTCCCAAACATTTCGGAAAGTCGTGAGAATCGAATCGCAAGGTCGGCTTCAAGGGATGCGGTTTCAACAATAGCATCTCCAGGCTTCTTCTTTGTGTGATCCGTCAGCAGTTTGAGTTCCTCCTCGGTCGCATCGTCAGGGGGCGGTAGTTTGGGGCGATCCATGTTCTTGTTCGCCGTGCCCCCAGGCCCTATTCCATGGCCAGAGTATAGCGGTCGTCCCGGTATGCCCCGGACACATGGAGTGAACGGTTCATCCTCGTCCCTCACGACATTCGCTCGAGTAGTCATGAGATTAGCTGCCAGCCCCAAACTATGCAGCAACGCAGAATTACTTCGCAGGCTAAACGCCTCCACTCTTTCTTCACTCGATGCCATGACTTTGGCCTCATCCGACAACTCCTTCTCCGTTTTACCGTTGCAGCTCGCGTAGAGACCGGCATCGAGCAATCGCGAAACGACAACTGGATTGTGATATGGACTAAGCTTGGGTGGAATTGTACAGTTAAGATCCGGCAATTGCAAAAGTCGTTCCGCAAGTCCAAGAATCGTAGAGGTTACATTAGACATTGTCTCCTCCCGCAATCGACGCTGTCTTCCCTGGCGCTCATAAGAACTTTGTGCAGTGTCATGAGTGTCATCCTCTGGCGCAAACGTGGCATCGTCAGCGGGGCCCTCGGCAGTCTCCGGTGTGTCGTTTGAAGCGCGGACAAAGCATTCGGCGAGGCCACCCAAGATATCAGCATTAGATAGGAGATCTAAAGCCTGGCCGGCAGGTCTCTTCTTGCAGTTTGCACTATAGGCGGACTGTTCAGTATCCGGCCCTTCAAGCATGCGGACAACAAGATCCGCGATAGGCCCGCAGTCCATGTGTTTTAGAATGCCGTTGATAAACTTGGGGCCTCTTTCCGCAAGATGTTCAATGGCGCGAGCGTTGTGGCTTTTCAAGAGGCTGATAAGGAGCTTTGAAAAGTGGATTGCAAGGACGGTGTCAAGCTTTCCGCGATCTGTCTCCTCAACGACGGCGAAGGCGGTTGCTAAAATGTCGTCATGGTCTAGGATGGAATCGGCGATGATCTTGTTGTCCGTTGCCAGTAATTCGGAAGCGATGTAGGCGAGATTGAATTGACGATCAGTATCATCGAGCTGCGGGTCGGGCTTGGCAAAGCCGGTACTGAGAGAGCCCGGGATGGGCCTGGGTTCGAAGTTGGGGGCGACTGCGGCGATTTGGGCGGGGACGATAAACGCGCGGTGCATGAGCTGACCTAAGGTGTGAGGATGGGCGATGTAGGCGATGAGACGCTTGTTTTCGCTGCGAAGCTCGCGGGGGGTATCTTCTTCTGCGAGAAATTGATCAAGGGTTGGAGGCTCCGGGGAAGGGGTGTCTGTGGATGATGGTTTAGACGCGGTGGAGGATGGGACAGGCGGTGTGGATGCGGTGGAGGAGTCGTCGGAGGAGGAGGCGACGGAATTGGGGATTGCGGCTTCCCATCGGGAAAGAAGATCGTTGAGGGGCGAGTTGGTCTGGTCACTTCGAAAGAAACTCATTGAGAAAAGTAAAGGAAAAGGAATGACGAGAATTAAATACTCGCCCTGGAGCGGACGACGATGACTGCGAAACGGCTAGTGCGTTCGTTGACCGGGGGCGTTTGACTCGAATGCAGACGAGGACCTCGCGAGAGGAAAATGAATTGGTGGAAACAAGGAGAAGGCAGAGAGCGACTTGCCGGAGAAGATTTCGCGGGGGAGGGGGGGCGAGGGGGAAGGGGGGGGGGGGGGGCTGGGGGGGGAAACGGGGCTGGGGATGGCTGGAGTGAGGTGGCGAAGAGATGAGTTTGCAATGCGTCTATGGTGTCGGCGTGGAGCGTTTTGCTTCGGGGTGCCGGACCGTGGGTGTGGTGTTAGTGGGATTTTTAGGAGACGGAAAGTGCGGAAGGACCGAGCGGACCCGCGGGAGGGACGTGTGGAAGGGTGGCGCAGTACACGTGGCGACGTGTTTGCTGCGGGGATGTTAAGCTTCTGAAATGGACCGTTTTGCGGCATTACATCAGGCGGTAGGCTGACATTTGGACACGTTTATTTTTCAAATCTTTCAAAAGTATATACAGTATCTTGTTTTCCGCGAGCCCTCTGTAAGCGCGTCGAAGGGATAGCCATTGGCTCGCCCTGCGGCAACCTTGCTGTAAGATCTGTCAGAGGACGACGTGTCGCCATGACACACAGCTACGAAAAAGTTTGTTCAATTCTCTATTCTTGGCCGCTCTCCTCTCTCACTGCGCAGCTGCTGTACAGCACTTGCACCGCCAATTGCAGTCACCTGCGTTCATCCTCCCATTGGAGTAACCCCCGATTGTCCGGCACCCCCTTTCCCCAGATCGTTTCTCACACCAACATACAGTACTGTACAGGACGCATACATATTGTACCCTTGCACTGCAGTACTGTAAGTTACAGACTGTCACAACTTGTGACCACTCCTGGCCACAGTGAAAGCCATGACAGTACTGTAAATTTAACTGTAAACCAATCTAACCACAGTAACTTAACACGGCTGGCGACAAACATCAGAGTCAGCCACACTATTTTAGAAGAGGTGAAGGGAGTAAAGTCTGCCGCCTATCTTCGCAAGGGCTTCGGTGCCCAGACAGATGCCGAGGAGAGGACGAGGATTGTGTGTGACCGTGTCAGGAGAGGGGTTGCACCAGGTGGATATCCTGCAGGGTCTGCTCGTCATGTACGGCCCACTGTGCGTGCTCAGACACGTCTAGGTTCTATACGGACGCAGAAGGGCGAGCGCACACTGAAAGTGTGTCTGAGTTCCCGGGACCGGCAGCGAGGCCAGACCGCAAGTGCAATACATGGGCGAGCGCCCTGCGCATTGGCATAATAGACGGTTGCCTGTCCACCATGAGAGACGGATGGAGGCCGCTGAGGGTGAGGATGTCGAGTGAGATCCCAATAAGTTACTACTTGGCACTCACAATCACCTCCCTCAATCCCTTCACAATGTGAAGTTCACATTGATCATAACCAATGACTACGCAAGTCTTCCATCACTCACACTCGCCTCATTTTGCGTCGCAACTCTATTAGAGATATATTACGCCACCGCAATTCTGCAACTAAAATGCAAAGAAACCGAAATTGAAATTACAGAGAGGACTCGCGCAATAGTGCCGAATTGAGTAATTCCACGAGTGAGTAATGCAGGGGTTTCTCGGTGAACACACGTTATCATACCTTGCATTGCTGTTAGACACCTGTCCAAGACGGGGACGCGGCCGACGAAGATGCCCAACAGTAAGAGCAAGGCAACCAGTGCGCTAATTTATAGCGCACATTTTTAGCCATGCAGCGCTCTAAAGAGTGCGCAACACAACAAGTGCGTCGCCATATGTGACGGCCCGCAAGGGGCCGAGTATTAGTTTTTCCCAAGTTTTTCGCCAAGACAAGGGGTCTGAAGCACGGCGCATATAGCACTCGAAAGATGATTGGTTATAGTGATTATGAAATATCGATGAATTCTGAGTGATCGCGAGCTATATCCATTTCTATCCTGCGCCCGGAAAGAAACGAATATAGAGATAGGCGCTTCCAGATAGCAACCGGAAAAAAGCGATTAGCGCACCGGTTGACATGCCAACAGGGGAAAATCTCTAAAATTTCGAAATTTAGCGCACTGGTTGCCTTGCTCTAAACGGATCAACCTTTCCAACATTCCCCGCAGATCCTCTCCGTCTTACAGTACTCCAGTGACACGCAAGGGCACCGACACAACCACAACACAGCATGAAAAGACGATTGCAGATGGAACCAAAGAGATAGAATCAAATGAGTATGTTACAGTATTCCAGGTTTTGAGGAAGCAATTGCCTGCTTTACGGGAGTGGAGGAAATGGTGAACATTTCGGGTGTCGAGGATTCGTCATTTGCACCGTGAAAAGCGCGCGTTGCTAACTGCACACGCTGCGCAGAGTCGTTCCGAGAGGCGCCAGACGCTTGTAAACGAGTATTTTGTGACCCCATTCATTAGTGCAAGATGCGAGTATTGCATGTTGTTGGAACCTTGCATGGGGGTGCACTACTCAGTGTGGTTGACTGTACAGTATTGCAGAATTCTGCAACTCAGCATCACCAAAGTTGCAGAAATTGGACCGTTTAGTGAAGCGGCAACTGAAACATTTTACCAATACGTGTAATAAAAATGGCGCCAAACAGATGCCACCGTGTGAGACGTGGGCGCTCCGGAGTGCGGGCGGGCCCCGCGCGACCGGGTCGGAGGCGATGTAGAGGTACGGGCGGAAGCGCGACAGCGAGGTGGAGATGGCGTGGATGTGGCGGCGCGGGGTGGACTGCAGCGCGGGCAGGCACGGCGAGGGGAGGCTATCCCGGTCGAGCGGCGGGAGCTTGGGCACCGGGAGCGAGCCGCGGCGGAGGAGCGAGGGCTGGGGCAGTGGCGAGGGCTGGTTGAGCGCGTCGGGGAGGTGCGGGCACGACTTGGTGTTGGTGTCCTTGGGCGGCGGGGACGCGGAGGGCGGCGGCAAGGGCGTCGGCCGAGGGGAGGGGAGGGGGATGGGAGGGAGGTTGGGAGGGCGGTTGGAGTCGGGGATGGTGATTGCGGTTGCGTTTGGCCCCGCGGGTGGAGGCGGCACATGCGGAAGATAGTGCGAAGTTGAGGGCGCAAGGCTGTTTGCGGAGTCTATCTAGGAGCGGGGCTGTGAGGACTTGAGAAGGTCCTCGTAGACGAGGCGCGTGTGGGGTAGCACGCGCGTGAAGGCGCGGGTGTCGGGAGCAGCCAGGTAAGGGCGGGGGTGGCGCGGGGGGCTGGGAAGCGGAGGAAGGGGTTGGAGGCGGACGAGTGGGTTCGGTAAGCAGGGAGGCGAAGGGGAATGCGGTGGGGAGTGTGGGCGGTGTCGTTGTTTTAACTTAAGGAATGGGCATTGGGAGTGTGTGGGGGGCTAAGGGGTGGAAGCCGTCAGCGTGTTTTCTTACGCTGTTTGAACGACTCCATCATATGCTTGAATGTTTCAAGCTTCAGGTTGTTGGCCTCTTCTCGTTCCTTGCGCGGCTCTTCTCTATCCATCTCCCGCTGTTCTAGGTCTCTCGCAAAGCACCGCTCTTCGAACTCTATGCCCGCCTCGTCGCTTTACAAGGACAAACCTCTGGAGTGGAGGTGTCTGGGCTGGGTGGGGCTTTGGTCGCCATGGCACAGTTGAGAGTGCGAAGATGGTGCGGGCATCCGCGGCTCTTAAGGGTGAGTTAGAAGGCGGTAGCATCCACGCCTCGGCCGCCCTGGCCCTGCCCGCCTGCTTCCCGCCCATCCTGGCCTTCGTCGACCGCGCCCGCCGCACCGGCACCGCCGCTGTCATCCCCTGCACCCAGGGCATCTTGCGCAGCGTCACCGCCGCCCTCGCTTACGTTATGATCACAAACGGCCTCCCGCTGGACGAAGCCATGTGCGACATGCGCCTGTGCCGCCCCATCGCCGCCCCCAACTACGCTTCTACGCCCTGCTGCGCCGCCTCGAGCGCGGCCTCCGCCACAGCCCCCCGGCTGACGCCCTCGTCCTC